CCTTCCCTCCATTTTGGTTGCTTGAGTAATAAATGTCTTCTCTTTTCCTGAATTTATGGTAAACTTTTTGTGGCCAGGAATTGCATCTAATCCAGAATCTCTTATCTCTTACTCTTTAGGGCTTAATAGATAGAGCGTGCTGTGCCCTGTGATGCTCCATAAATATTGCTGATGGCAGGGATGACATTTCAGTGGTGAACGCCTGTCAGAGAAATGCTATGCAAGAGGGATTTTTTATGGACAGCATCACGGTAATGGAATACAGATTTGCAATGCATCACCAAACATTAACCTAAAACCAAGCAATGCTAGAAGATTATTGACAAAGCACGGGCTGCAAACCTTGGGAGAAGTAGGCAGCTCTGGACAGATGTCAAGACCACTCAACATCCTGACGTAGATGAGAGGGTATGCCATCCATCAATCAACCAGCCAATCAATATTAATTGAATGCCAGCAAGGAAAAAATGTGATGCTAGATCCTGATACCTCACAGCAAATCAGTTATATCTATCTATTTTGCACCTTTTTGGCATTTGTGTTATTATTACTATTATTATTATTATTATTTTAGTTGGCCATTTGCATTTCTCTGTAAGCCAGGAGAAAATCAGTCTCCTTTTGCAAATTTCTCAAATGTTTCAAATATCCTTGAACCTCAGATACTGCATGTAATTATTAAATGGCTCACAGTAGAATAAATACACTTGCTCTGCTTAAAAAGAAATAATCTTACAAAATCGAATTAAGCACCTGGCATATACATATCCTAATATACATATCCATTAAATGTAAGCCAGGAGAAAATCAGTCTCCTTTTGCAAATTTCTCAAATGTTTCAAATATCCTTGAACCTCAGATACTGCATGTAATTATTAAATGGCTCACAGTAGAATAAATACACTTGCTCTGCTTAAAAAGAAATAATCTTACAAAATCAAATTAAGCACAGGGCATATACATATTCTAATATACATATCCATTAAAAGCAAATTAAGCAAAGGGCATATACATATCCTAATATACATATCCATTAAAAGCAAATTAAGCACAGGGCATATACATATCCTAATATACATATCCATTAAAAGCAATTCTGCATATATATGAGGTTTGCTTTCATAGAGTACTTGGCTTGGAGTTTTAAATATGTTCTTAAAGAAATGTACACTTGAAGGAAAACAAGTTAACAGATCAGTAGTACAGAAGGGTTGGTGTAATGGCTTAAGGTTTCAGGAAAGCCCAGGAGAGACATGCTGCTTTTGAACTTGGTTCCCAACCGAGAAGAACATTTTATTTGCTTGCTTGAGAGTACTCCTTGTAGTACATTTTATTTTCTACTTTTCACAGCAATGAGAATCCTGTGATGGAAAGCCACTGCCTTTTTCTGTCCAGCAATTACTTCTAAGTCATAACTGGCCTTTGTGGTAGGCAGTGTGGCCGCAATAGCAAAGCAGCAAGCTCATTGCTAGTTAGCATCAGTCAGCCCTTTATCAGAGTTTTGGTATGTGTTGAAATGAGCATTTCTCAAGACCCCCAAATCTGCTGAACAGAGATGGGGCATTGGATATGGTGCCCACGCCCAGAAGAGAACTGGCATGTCTTTGTGGCTGCACAGCTGGCCAGAGGCTCATGCTGGATTGGCAGCAAACCTGCCAAAGGCAAGTGCTGGGCTCAAGGGTCTGGGAGCCTCTGGAGAGCAACTTTCCTTCAGTGCAATGGGAGGACGGTCCTCATCTACACCTCTGGCCCAGTTCCTTCCAACCACAGAATCTCTCCTTTGCCTTTCTGCTATCAACTAGTCCAAACCTTTCATGCCCAGTCTTCCATGAAGCTTTCTTAGAATGCTGCCCCATGCTCCAGTCCCTAAATCCCAGACCAGTTATCTAGACTACCTTGTGAATCGCGCCTCCTGACTCCTTCTTCGTCTAAATTGTACCTTACCCAGGAATACACCTCCCACCTCCGCCAATACCTGTTACCCTCATTAAAATCTTAGACCGAATGCCACCTCTTCATGGAAGCCTGTCTCAACTGCCCCAGCCAGAGATAATTTCGCATTTCTTTGTGCTCGCCAAAGCATCTTTAATATAAGGCAATACATGTAATGGCCCCCTTACTGGTGTCAAACCTTGTCTCCACCACTTTTTAGCTGTGTGACCTTGCACAAGTTATTTAACCTTTCTGTGCCTCAGTTTCCAAAATGGGAATAATAATAATGATAATACCTATTTCAGGGGTTATGATGAGAATTCATTGAATCAATACATACAAAACACTTTAAAAACTGCCTTAAACATAGTAACTACTTGATAGGCATTAGTTTTTAAAGTTTTTTTTTTTCTCTTGGCTCTGGCTACACTTATCATTGTAGTGATTTTAGGCATCTGTTGCCTCCTCATATGACATTGCAAGTTCCTCAACAGCTTACGCACCAAAACTAATACTTTCATGTGTACCAAACTGAAGTCCCATACTGTTTATTGCTCTTTTTTATGCCCTATCCTTTTAAAACTTACTTCTTACTATGGAAAATATCAAAGATATAAAAGAGAGTAAAATCTCATGTACCCATCGCCTGGCTTTGACAATTATTAATTCATATACAATTTTATTTCCTCTGTACTTCCAGTCATTCTTCTCCTACTTGCTCCAAACGCTAAGTTATATTGAAGAAAATACAGGCATAATATTTCAGCTCAGGGGGAATTTTTAATAAATGTATCCTACACTCAAGGGAAAAGTGCTCTATTCAATTCTCCTTGTGCCAAGCAGGAACTGACTCCAGGACAGATCCAGTCTTTCAGACTATGGATCCTCCCAGTGATGTGGGCTTGAACTTTGACTCACCTCCCTCCCATAATCATTAATAATAATAGTTATGCTTTGAGAGGCCATGATTTGAACTGTGGCACCATCTAATCTTTGTAATAATAAGACATGGTGGACGGGGATCTTTGAAAATGACTTGATAATTGAGAAAAGTCCCATTTATTCATCAAAGTAGATACTATGTCTTGAGTCACTGGCTCCCTAAGAGGCAAGAATCATGCTTACCTGACTCACTATGACTGTACCTCAGACAACTGAACACTTGGGAATTTTTACTGTTGACAATGAAGAATTTCCTTGCACTAAGCACTAATTAGTTCTGATTGGAAGATTTTAGTTAGTTTAAAATTGTACTTTCAAGAAACACGTTTGCAAATGGAAATACTTAAGATAAACATCATAGTTATCTTTTTTTAAAAAAAAATAATATTCTTATAGCATATTACACAGGAAGAATTGCTTGGGAAAAGTTTGTGTTGGGTTCAGAAAAAGAGGTAAGGGGGAAAACCATTTTGTCAGTTATATTTTATGCCTGGATTAATCAATCAAAGATTAATTTTATTCCTATTAGCTGCGGCAAGCAGCCGGCACACTACTACCCTTTCTGAGGTCATATGGACAATTGGTAACCAGTCATGCTGAAGCCAAGCGCTCCATCATGGTCCCTCTCAACACAGTGCTCCAGACTGCAATTCCCAGTTATGGCTCACCCCTGGCTTAGTGATGTCTGTTTTGTAGCATCACACCCCTGTGTCTGAAAACAGTTTATTCACTAAGTGAATGCTAGGATCTAGGGTTATAAGTCATGGAGGTAAGAGACTCTTCATGTCAAAAGTTCTCAGACGTTTTTATATATTCTAATCCCCTAAACACACACTTCCAAGCACTGCATGATAATTTTAAAGACATAGTTGGAGTTGTTAGAGAGTAAACTGTGCTATTGGACATCAGCAACAATCTTTTAAAAATGTTACAAATTTGAATTGTATTTCCTTCTTTATTCTTTTTCTGCATTTTCTGAAATTGCCAAACTCCCTAACCTGTGTGTCCTGTATGCATCTTAGACACTCTCAGATCAACTTGCTAAATGTAGGGACAGTATCTAAGCTATCTGGTCCATAAGAAACCTGTGTCTGGCTACTCTCTGGCCATCATGCTTCCTGTCTTTCTTCATAAAAATGATGTTTATGAAAAAATGGTACAAGTCGGAATTAGAGACATTTATGAGGCTTGGGTTCAAGTGTTGTCTCTGACATATATTAAGTTCGACCAGGGAAGTCACTCAATCTTTCTGCTTACCTATTGCAGATCATCTATTTTCTTGTCACCAAACTGAGAGTGACAACATTTGTTTTATGTACCATGAAATTGTCACAAGAAGTAAAAAAAATGAGTAAAGTGCAGTATACATAATATATTTTTATACCGTTAATTAAAGTTTATATGTTCCCCTGAACTTAACCTGAGAACATCAGTAATAGGGAAGCACTAGGTTTAAAAAATACAATATTATTTGGATGAGCAAGCCATACATCTTTATTTCTTGATATTTCCTACATACAATCTATATTTAAGCAAGAATTTTACTTGGAGAAAAAAGAGACTGCATTTATGTGCATAGTAGCCAAATTAGCTGAAGAAAACAGATGGGTTATTAGATAGTTTTGTATGGTAGGATACCAAGCCACTGGGGCCTCCACCCAGGCTGTCTGCCAGTTTCACCTACCGTTTTGTTGAAGGGAACTACGTGAACTTTATAAGGTTATAGCAGAGACACTTTTCAAAAACATACTGATGCAGACTCGTGGGGCAAAAAAAGTTTTCTGTGGTAGTTTCAACCAATCAAGTGAAATCAGTGTGTCTTAAATCACTTTGTGGTGGGTAGAGAAAGGATTTCTTATTATCTTTATTTTCTTCCATCTATAATAAAATGGCAAATAATTTCTAGTTCAACAAAACAAAATATTCAAAAGATAATCTAGAGTAGAATTGTAATATTTAAAAAATCTGAGAACTTAGAAAATGTAGCCATGGAGAAGAAAAATCACAATACAATTTACTGAAGCATTGAGATTATTTTGCTGGTGATATTCAAGCCTTAAAAATAAAACAGAGCAGAATAAATCCCCAAACATAAATTCAAAGCCACCTCACGAGGCCAAGTTTACCTGTTAAACCAGTCGTCTGTGTATCGAGGGTAAGGATAGGGGTCGTTGCTACTGAAGTCATAACTTGCTTCGGCATTCTGAAAAACACAAGGTGTCTCACTGGGTCAATAAAGCCAGAGGCACAGGCAAGAGAAAATGCTGTGAGACCCGACTGTTTCATGTTTATAGCCCCTCCCTGGCATGTTGTGTTAATGCTCTTCTCCGGACTAGCCCTTGCAAAAATGGTGACAGGGCTGCAGTGTGGTCTTGGAGTTTTCTATCCTCCCTTTATCTCCTTTTCCAAGTTTCTTCATTTCATCCTATTTCAGGTCTTCATTGAGTTAGCAAATTTGAGTACTGTGCTCTCCAGGACTGTCTCCAGCTTAAGCTGAGTTACCCCTTGTGGGTAAATGGGGTGCAACTGTAATCCAGGGCTTATATTAAGGTTCTCTGGACAAGTGGCCAAAATGTTCTAGTTCTCATGTCACGAATGAGACAGCTTCTAGAGTTTTTTGCTTCATGCAGAAGGCTCACTTCCATCTCCTTGCTTTAGACTGACTCAAAGCTTATCTCCTTTATACTTATGGGTGCTAAACACTTGCCCAAGCCCTTAATTTTGGCCATAGTATCAACCTCAGTTATTCACACAATTCACTGTTTCGTTCGTTGAAAGGGACTATATGAGCTGTTACAAAATTATAGCATACATTCTTTTGAAAAACATATCATTAAGAGTCTAATAATATATGCAGAGAATTTTTCAAGTATGGAAATATAATAGTGACATCCATGCCTTCATATAACTTATAGCCTAGCTATAAGACATCGATCAAATAATTAAACAAATAAATATGCAATTAAAAATTGGATGTATTCTTAAACCCTGCAGTATTCAGTTAGAAGTTTATACTCTATGCAATCTAACACCTCCATTTTTTTTTTCCACTGCGAGTCTTTCTTTACAGAAATTGAAGAAGGGCTCTGCTGGGACCCCTGTAGTAGAGGCCTCACAGTATCCCCGGCTTCGCTTTTCCTTGCCCTAGAGCTTAAATTGTCCCCAGCAGCTTGACCTAAAGCTTGGAATGTCCCCTGCCACAGAAAATTGCCCTGAAAATTATGATTACTGCCCTTATGCTTACTGATCACAATTCTTCTGGTCTAGCATTTTTTCCAGACTACTCCCATCTTTTTCTGTTCTTGGATTGCTAACACCATTGGAGGATTACGTGGCCAGAGGAGTGGCGCCCGTGAAGCATGGGACACCACCCTCAAGCCCACAACAAACGTCATGGAGCCCCTGGAATAATGCCCAGATTTTCCCTAAATACCGTAAGCTGCACTGAGAAGGCAAGGCCGTTTTGAAGGTGTTAACCTGCTGCCTTCTCAGATCACTGGCTCTCTGACAATAAACGCTTCTTCTAAATATCTCAACTCCTGTGTGGGTGCCTGAGCAGCACAGGCAGCATGAGCTCTGGACTCAGTTGCCCTCCGGTTTCAAAATGAATTACATATCCACTTAAATTCTCTTTAAGTGATTTCATGTTTTAATTTTTCCAATTTAGATCTTTAGTCAGTCAGCCATGAATTTTGGTCTGTGATAGAAGATTATCCACCACCATTTGATGATGAGTCCATTCCTCCCCTGCTGCCTTCTCTGCTGGTCCTGCCTTGCAGAGTTCCGTGAAGCTCCTCTCTCCTCCTCTCATCCTTCTCTCCTTTGGTTTTGGGATTGCCCTTAAAGATTCCAGACGGATTCCTGATCCAAAGCATACACTGGACTAGGAAACACTGGGTTAAATGCCTATTGCAGTCTGGGCATTTCTTAACTCTATGGGTCTGGAGACAATTGCAGGAATTGTGCTCCTGTAAGAGGCAAAACATTGTAGTTTGTGATTCACTCTAGTTTCTAAACCTAATGTAATAGTGCATAATGTTTTTAAGGGCAAATTGACTAATTCCATTAGCTTGTGTTTCCATTTGTTAGATGACAAAGAGTTGTAATGATCACAATTGTAATACTAATTTATTTAAATATTGTGCTTGGGGCCAAAGTCGCTCTGAAATTTGTTTAAAAATTTTTTAATTTTTAATTTCTTAGCTTTATTGTTGAAACAGGATATCACTAGTAAAATTCTTAATCTTTTAGCAGGAAATGCAATGGAACATCTCTTGCAGAGTTAATCTTTTTAGTAAACCTAGTTTTCTTCCTTTCTAAGGGAAAAAGGCCCTCTTCTGCAAATCCTGATAATTACCCTGAAATTGGCGACTCAGATCCTCTGGCTATTGATAAGGGTCATCAGCCCATTGTTAGAAGAAATGGTGTTAAACCAGACAGGGCTCTTAGAGTCTGAGAGGGGAGAAGACCTTTAGCCCAAAGGGTTTTTTATTCTTTAAGAAATATATCAACCACGCCTGTTTCCCTTTACTCGCTTAATAGGCAAATCAATAATAGAAATTAATAGCTATATGATTTAAATAATAAGTTCGTATCTCTTTTTCCTTGTTTAGGGACTGAGGTGGCACTTTAGCAGGAAACCCAAGACCCCACCCTGACTGTGAAAAGGAAAAATAACAGAAGATAGCCCTCCCTTCCCTCAACATCCATACTAATAATAATGGGGTTCATGAACTTAGAAAAGAATTAGGCGGGAAAGTTAGTTAGGGGGTTTTGGGTCTGCTTGCAAAGACACTGAGGTCATCCTATCCTAGAAGGAGTATGCCCTAATCTGCCCACAATTAAGCAAAACAAAAGGCATTTCTTTTAACTCACACAAAGAACAAGCAGGCAAAGAATTAGGTACCAGTTTAAGTCAGTCACTCGCACCTAGCACCTATGCAATTAAGACCCCAACAACCTTCAACTCACCTGAGCCTCATTATATCATTATTATAATACTATGCATATGCCTGGAAATTAATTAGTATCATTATAACAGACTGAATTCTGGGAACAAACACGCACAGAAAGCAAATCAATGAATCACGGAGTTCTGTCAATCTTAGTTTTCAATCAAGGAAGCCCATTCCTCTAAGAAAAGTAACCAACCACAGTAAATGGACATAAAAACCCCAAAGGCTTTGTTACCAGGACTTTTTGAGCCACGCTTCTCTTACTCAAGCCCGCTTCCACGTCTGGAAGTGTACTTTCCCTTCTAATAAAACTTTTGTTTTCTACTGTATTTTGGTGTCTTGCTCAATTCTTTGTTCAAGACATCAAGAACCTGGACAACGTACCGGGAGAGGATCCCCACTTTCTGGTTATATTGTGGTATAATTGATATATAAAAAACTTGCTCATATTTAGTCTATGGCCATGCCACCCTGAACAAGCCCGATCCCGTCTGATCTCGGAAGCTAAGCAGGGTTGGGCCTGGTTAGTACTTGGATGGGAGACCACCTAGAAAGACCAGGTGCTGTTGGCATAAAAGATAAAAAAAATAAGAGATTGTAAACTGACAAGGTCCTTGCAATCTATGAGGTCAACCAAGGGTTGCCTCGCCTAAAAAAAAAACAAAAAACGTCCACACATTTATGTATATATCTTGCTGCATTTGGGCATATGCGTACACCCATGATACATCATCACCTCGACCAAGGTACTAAACATTTCTATCACCTCCCCAAACTTTCTTTTGTTCTTTTGTGTGTGTGAGCGCACACATCTGTGTTTTGTTAAGAACATTTAACATGAGATTATCGTCTTAACATATTTTTTTTCCCCTCTTTAATTCTCACCCCGCTTCTACCCCCGACCTATGGATGCTGCCATTTCCCTTTAAGAATTGGATATCTGAAGGTGAGGCGTCTCCTCCCACACACTTGGGGTGTTGCATCCGGGGCCTGGTACCTCTCCTGGTGCCTCCTTGTGCACTTGGGGGGGCCTGGTGCACCCGGGGTATGGTCCATAGCTCCACCTGGAGTGCGAACCCAGGACCTTCTGTGTGTAAAGCAGACGTGCTAACCACTATACTATGAAGCCACTTCCTCATCTTAACATATTTTAAAGTGCACAATATTCTATTGTTGACTTCGATGCACAGTTTACTCATTTGCATAACAGAAACTTTATAACCATTGAAAAAAAGTTCCTCAATTCTCCCAACATTCTATTCAATGTTTGGACCAGTCATTCTGTTGTGGATCATGAATAAATCTATCCTTTATTCCAGATTCTAGTTCTTTCTTCAACATCTGGCCTTTAGAGAGAACATCGTCCTGTCTCCACTGGCCATAAACATCGGCAAGTCTCCAGTTCTGCGCCTCCATTTAGATCCCAAACTACTTTGATTCACCTTTAAAAGTTTAATTCTCTTTCTGGTGTGTAATCCTTGTCTCTCTGGGAGATCCTCTCAGATTTGACATGTTATTATTATTTTTTTTTTCCTTGACTTTCTTAAGATATTTATATCTCAGTTCTTTTGAGGGATATTATTTTGAAATAGTATTTGACTACCCTAAGTATGTTTGGTTACCTCTAATCGTCTCTGAATTTTTGAGACAAGAGCATTCTTAGGTAGAATTGGTGAGGTAGGAGTATCAAGAGAAGCACAAGTTAATATTTTTCTTTTTGGATTTCAAAGCTGAGATTGAAACTTAAGTGATAAATTTGGAGGCCTATTTGTTAAGCCTGATTTGTTTCTCCATAGTGATTTAAATTCTCTGGTCTAAGGTGAGTTGGATAAAAAATTCAGCATCATTAGCCATTGTAGGGGCCTCAAGGAGGCCTGAGGGCTACCTCTTGCTTCTGATCTGTGTTCTTGGAGTCGGTTGGGGGTATGCTGGAATGTCCGACTTCAGAGAAGTCTGGGACTCATTCTTGGACAAGGACATGAAATTGCAGATCAGAAGTGGTTCTGTGAGGCATCTCAGCTGAGGATTTTGGGGTGGCCCCACTCTGCATTCCTGTGACCCTCAGTATTAAGTAGGCAACAGCAGAATATTCTGTGGGATGCTGAGATTGGTGAGAACATGACAGTGAGAACCAGCTGGCCTCAAAAGTTCTGGGGTCAGTACAGTGAAGATCCAGGGTTCAGGCAGGATCTACATGAACTGATGTGTCAGGAGGCATGGAGATGCATGCAGCAGGAAAGCACAGGAT